GAAGTGTCTTAATTTTCAAAAATTCTTCATGAAGTTTTATTGGAACAGACATCCTTGTGACATTAGTTCCCAGGTTTGGAAATAGATCACACTACTAGATTCTTTTTTTTTCCCCCCCATGAGGGATTTTGTCTAAAAATAATTCCAATGCATAACAAACCTAAGCGGGGAAAAAAAGGTGTTCAGCAGACTCAAGGGGAACAGCTGAAACTAAGTAAAAAGGTAAAATTTCTGGCCAGACTGAAAAGAGTAACTTATCTCAATTCCTGAGATACAGCAACAAAGTCTGAGCTTGCAGCTGGTAAGGCAATTTTCCTAAGAAGTTGTTCCCTTCAATCTACAAGAAAAAGGCAATTTATTATATTTTTTTAATAGTAGCATTATATAATTGATTGGAAGAGTGTTTTATTTCTCATGAAATGAGATGATCGTCGATTGAACAGTTTTAAAAATAAAGTAACTATTAGACGAATAAAGTCCCAAGAATCTGGAAATATAGAATAAAGTTAGTGGTCTGGCAGATTCTTCAATTTTCTGAAGCCATGGTCAATAAGTTTGCAGTAAAACTGAGCTATGAACAGTGTTTTTGTCATTGATGGCTGCTGTTACATGATATTAAAGAAATAAAGATTGAAGATTCTTAGCTAGACTGCAGTACAAAATTAATAGCCTAATGAAGAAAGCAGTATGACCTTTTGGAAGGTAAATGCAGCATGTTTACAATGTTCACAAGGTTTGGCTGTGCAGGAGGGGGCTGAATATGCTGCCGCCTTATTGGATTTTTTCAAATTCACTGACCTGCAAAGAACTTGCTGCTTCCATCAATGACAAGTATTTTTTAAATAGTGTCAGTCAGGGGAAGATTTACCAAAGAAAGAAAGAAAACCATCCTACTACAGCATCTCTTCCCAGGTGGCCACCTATTGAAATCCTCAACAAACTATTCACAGCATGAGAGGTCAAATACAGATGTAGTTGTAAAGGATTGAGAAATAATAGCTCCTGGCATAAGCACATCATCCAAATTAGATTTTATTGGTTTGCTTCAACCTGTTGGGGATCATGTCCTGAATCCATAATGCTGTAACACGGCTCTGCAGTTGCAGTAGATTGTCTTCACCAGACCTTGCAGTGAAGCAGTTTACTCCAGTTGAGGGTCAGCTCATCAAGATTCAGTAGTGCTGTGAGACATCGCTTGCTGTGGTCCTCCAGAAGAATCTTTGTTTTTTCCTCTGCAGTGCCTCAGCTTAAGATAAACTGATCTTGCAGCTTCCCACAACTAATAATTCAGAGTTGAGTGGATCTCGTATGGATCATAGGAATCTATCCTTCTATGGATAGATTAAACTCCTCAAAGTTTGTTTTAATGTGGTACTGCTGTTTTTTCTGTTGATACAGGGTATGACATACTCTGTGCCGTACATCCACGCAGAGAGCTAGTAAGGCTAGTTAGTGTACTGCACTCTCACACTTGCTTATTCTGCTGCCAAGTTTGCCATGTAGAAAAGTCTTCAGCTATAGTGGTACAGTAAAGATAAGTTGCAGATCCCAAATTTAACTGTCCATTTTTTTTGTCTTGATGTTATTTCATTAACAGCACTTCAGTTACACATCCTTTGTTTTGTTTGACATTTTTAAACTGAGAGGTTCACTGTGTGATTCCTGTCTTACTTATTCAGGTGGGTTATTCCTGTGGAATTTTGATTAATGATGGTATAGATCCAATGTAATATTTAGGGTAGATGATATGACTGAAATCTTCAAAACTCAGCTATTAATCTGGGTCTCACCCAGTAACACATGAAATTGTGATCTTCTGCAATCTTGCCTCTGTAAAAACATGTATAATTTTTACAAAAATAGTCATGGTTGCGATTAAGGATGCTGATGGTTGTTTTTGTTTTTAATTTCCTATCCTTCAGAATCCTTAATAAACTTTCACGGTCAAAATCCAGATGGTACTGCAGAGCTCAGTGTAGTTTTTGAGAATTCTTTTCTGTTTGTGCTGATTATAACTCTCCCTAGATAAAAGTGTAAAATTGTTTGAATTTTTGGCCTTTGGCTGTTTGGAAAGCTGCTGTCAGCTTCCAGCATAAGCCAATTCATATTCAGTCCACGTCCACAGCTTGATGGTAGAGGGAAGTGCAACAGCGAGCATATCAGTTTGCCATTGCCCAAAAATTTAAAAACTAATAGACCCCGCTCTATCTGGTGAGATTGTTTCCTTTTATTAATAGGCAGTTGACCTGTGTTTTTTGTTTTTGTTTTTGTTTTTGTTTTTTTTTAATTTGTGTTGCTCTCCTGTTCTGAAGAGTCATTGATTTACAAACTCTGAGGAACATTGTCCTGTGGAGGTGGGGAATACAGAGGGAAGATTTTTAGTCCCTTAGATAATTAAGCACTAAAATAAATGATTAAAAAATTATGAGGTGAAACACTCTGTTAGTTTTAATATAAAAATAATGTACTTCTCCCTGTGGAATGCAAGGGAGGGAGCTGCAATCAAAATAAGTGAAATAAAAAATTGAACACCTTGAGTTTTTTTCCTCTCTCTAAGTTGCCTCCTTGATGCCTCACTGTGTTTAATGGTGCTTTGCCAAGCTGTTGGGAAGAGTACAAAATGAGTGTGGAATTTATAAATGGGACATTAGATGGAGGAACGATGTTATGGGGCTGGGTGATCTGAGTACAACAGCAGAACAGATTTCGCCTTAGGGCCGGATAGGAGAAATGCATCCGTGCAACTTGAAAATATAGCAAAGACATTTAGAGTTGTTAGAAATCTTTGTTGGGGGATTATCTAGAGAAAGGTCTTTAAAAACTTCTTCTGCTCTCAATGAATATCTGGAGACAGTGGGGGCTGAATGCTGAAAGAGACCAAGACTGAAATAAAGGGTGTTTTTGCATGCAAAGAATCTCTGCAGTTTACTCGTGATTAAAAACAAGCAGAAAAGCCTTGGGTGTGACTTCCTCTAAATTCAAACAAGATCTAAGCTGAGTTTTCCACCTCTACGGATCACGGGACTTCAGCCGTTTATTGCTGTTGCAATTTACAGTCTCATATGATGATGTGTGCTGAGGCCACTTTCCCAGTTCTTCAGATGGAATTTATTTCTAATTCTAGGTGGGGTTTAAGAGTTGACATTAATTAAACTTTTAAAAGTAAGGTTTTATTTTAATTGTTTGTTGGAAGAGGAATTTCAATTTTTCAAGATGGAGAGAAGGATTTCCAAAACTGTGAAAGTTTTCTCTGCAGTCCTTTCTTCCTGGCCTCTTTCATTCTGAGATTTGTGCCTTCTCTCTTACAGCGGAATGATGCCCACAGTTATCTAGGGTTGGTTTGTGTTTTGTTTTTTGTTTGGTGTGGGTTTTGTTTTGGTGTTTCTTTTGGTTGTTTTTGGGTTGGGTTTTTTTCCTTTTAAATAACCAGCTGGTTTTGCTTTTCCAAATTGAAAGTCCTTTGCTCCAGTTTTCATTATGTTTGCATAATGTTAGTGCCTGGAGACTCGAGCTGAGATCACAGCCTTGTTATTTGTTGGTGGTACTCCTCCTTATATAAGTCAGATAACTCTGTTGCATTTGCAACAAAGTCTATGGCAGAGCGAGATCTCCTGCATTAACTGCTTTGCTGTGGAGGTGCCTTGGTTGACATGCTGGTTATGGGTAGTACAGGTGGCTTCCTTGCCCGCAGAGGTGAATCCCCTTCCCAGGTTATGCAGCCCATGGGCAGATAAGGTGATTGTTGCTGTGAGAGGCATTTTTCCAGATCATTTTTGGTGAACACCTGCTGTCTGAAATCAGAGGTTTTTAGGAACTAACAATACCTGCCCCTAGGATTTGAAGAGAACAAGCCTCTTCTATGCTGTTCTAGATTTTGCAATGGATTGCAGTACATAAATAGTAGACTGGTGGTTAGGAGTAACCGACATCAGTTTAGACCGCCGCAGGACTTGATGAGCAAATATATATTTAGGTCAGATACTAAACAAAAAATAAGGACTAAGAAAGCATTTGTGGACTAGAGGTTTTAATACAATCTGTGGTAACCCTTTGGCACGTTTCTGAATAAGGGTAAGGATTTGAATTTGCTGTGGAAAAAAATGCAATTTATGGAGAGCTTATTCTTTAATATGATAGCTTGCCTCAGGTAATTGCTCGATGGCACAGTTAAAATAAATATCTTGCAGAAAGAGAGACTCAGTGTCATTGAAAATGTGCTTTCAATGTGCGGTGATGTACAGCCTACAGGTAATGCAGTTGTATTAAGGAACAATGTAGGGTTAGGCAACAACAGTGGCATGAATCCTGATAGTTATTTACAAAAAAAATCCCCTCTTTTCATAGATGAAGTGAAATAGAAGGGATGATAAATTGGATGTAAATAAAGCTCCTTTTGAAATCCTTTAGTACCAGGGTGTTGTAAAGGACCTTTTGTGGAAATGGTTATTGTGCTAACTATTCTTAAAGTGAATTTCATCCTTGTGCAGGAAACCACTTAAAGTCCACATACTGCTTGAGTGCTGAAAAGAAGGTTAATGTGAACTCAAAGTAGTCCATGTGCAGCATTTAATGTAAAATCGTTGCATTGGTTTCCTCTATGGGTGCAGCTTGCTTTAGTGATCAAATTCCTTTTTAAATGTGTTTGTGCAGTGATCTTATGTTGCAGATGCTGACTGGGTAATTTTGTTCTCCAATAATAAATGTATACTGCAGGTGAAGATGTGACCTTTGGTGTGGGTAAACCTACACAAGCTACTCTTTTTGTTTTGTTTTGTTTTTTTTAATCTAGCTTCCATGTAGAACATACCACAACCTATTGTTTTCCAAACTAACTAGATAAATCATCATCTACCTAGGCTACTTCTGCATGGATTGATGATGTTTGCTATTGCCACTAATATCGGCTACAGCACTGTCAATCCCTTCAGTAAAGTGAGAGAGGTTATGCCAAAGTATGATTTGAAGGTCTGATCTTCTAAACTCTCCTTTCCTTTCAACAGTGACTGAGAGTCGAGGGATCCTGGAGAGTATACAGAGATTTTCTTTACTGCCAACTTACTTGCCAGTGACCTATCGTATCCACAATGCAGATGTTTCCTTCTTTCTTAAAGAAGCCAACCAAGATATTATGAGGAATTCTAGCTTGCAGTCCCGAGTGGAATCCTTTCTGATCTACAAATCCAAGAGGCCACCTATGTTAAATGCCAGCTATGGACCTTTTTCCATTGAACAAGTAGTGCCCCAGGACTTAATGTTGTCTTCAAATCCATTTGGATCTACTAACAAGTTCTCCTTTAATTGGAAACTTAAGGCCTTCATAATGAGTGACAAAATTTACCCAAGCAAGCCCAAAGTCCAGGTCCTGTTCTACATTGTGGGCAGGGACTGGGATGACTATAGCACCACGGAACAGCTGCCCTGCCTGCGGGTGTTTGCTTTTCGAGAGACGCGGGAAGTGAGAGGCAGCTGCAGATTGCAAGGGAATCTGGGGTTGTGTGTGGCAGAGCTGGAGCTCCTGCCAAGCTGGTTTAATCCCCCAACGGTGGTTGCTGGCCGTAAGAAACCAATGGATCAGTCTGAAGGGAGCCCTGTGGAGCTTTACTATTCCATACAACCAGGAGATGAGAAAGGGGAGTGCACCAAGGAGGATGTAAGGAAAAATAATGGTATCCGGCCGGGGCGCAATGACGTTGATGAGTCGGGACCTCCCTTGCAGAGGATTGGAAGTGTTTTCCTTTACCAGACACATGCCGTCCCTTCCTTAAATGAAATGAAATTGGATAATAATATTGCCATCCAATATGCACCAAAGACTGTCAAGCAAGGTGACATTTTGACTTTCGTTGTATCTGTTGCTAAAAATTCAACAGAAGAGCAGTTCACACTGAGGTAAGGCTGTTTTCTGCTTATTTGGTACCTTACTTTTTTGTTTCTCTACTCTTGGTATGGGAAGTCACTTTCTCATCTATAAGTTGTCAAACAATCCTTAATTGCTGTTCCACAGAAATTGTAGTGCAGTTGGCTGACCCAGTGTTTCTCCTATTGTTCAGTCTATTATTGTATGAATTGTCTGAGATGTGATCTCTGAGTGACAAAGGCCTCTTCTTGAAGTTGTCCTTTGAGTACTTCTTATAAAAATTGAAATAGTAGAGCTGGGACCTATCTACGTGGTAATAGGAGATAACATTTAAAGTCTCCGGAGCTGGAGTTTGCAGTGCTCCTAATCTCTCATTGAACTCCTGTTAAGATTAGTAAAACTCAAATCCGCAGAGGTATTTAGAGGAAATGAGTAAGAATTAAGCATCTAAGTAGGATTTATATGCTTAAATGTCTTCCCCAACCTGTTGTAAGCCTGGTGCTGTTTAACAGGACGTTTGACGTTCCTAAGTATTATTAATATACCAAAGCAGTTTATGAAAATGAAAAATACCTGAGGGTGGTGGTGGTTGTGTTTTGAATGTAATGTCAAGTGCCACATTGATTTCCTCGGTTGCTTTCCAAGCATTTGGATATTACAGTGGGAAGCTCCCTATAACCACCAATGTAATACAAGGAATAACAGCAAAGGCTATCAGGCTGTACTGCAGCAAACTGAGAGCAGATGTCCACTGCATGCAAGTGCGACTGTCCAGTTGTCTTTTCAAGTTCACCACTCTGTGTTCCAGCACTATAAACTAGGGTTGTGTGGCTGACACATGGAAGGTTGCTGTGTGTAGGGCCAATTTCGTTCTTTTGTCCCTTACTAATGACCGTGTTGGCTCTTTTAGAGTTGGAGGTAAATATTGTACTCTGCCTTCTGAGATTAAGACTGACTCATCTTGGGTGTTTGTCCTAGAAATGACCGTTGGTGCCAAAGCTCACAAAGGCTGACAAAACATACCTCCAAAAGAGGAAAAGCATCATAAGAGCGAGCAGTGAACTCCGCGCACTAGAGGTGCTTGGTGCCATCCCCTAAGAAATCATATCCTACTCTGACTTGAGACAACATACACTCTCCTTTCTCTGGTAGTTATGCATCTCAAACTCAAAAAATCTCTGGCTGAAGTCATCTAGGCATGTTTGAGGGCTCAATTATTAAAATGATACAAAGCTGCAAATGCAATGTTGTTGAACTTGGATGTATACCTCATACTTGAGTAAGAAGTAAGCTAAATTTGACTCCACTGACCTAAGTAGTAAGGGCTCAAAGTACTAATTCTCATTATTTCCCCTCCCTGCTCCACCCCCTCCCCCGGAGATTTGTGGGGGATTCCTGGGGGAAGTGGTTTGCCATAAAATCAGGTCATTTTTCCTTAGCAGGTTTGTGACATGTAAACTGAATAACCACAGCACTTAGTCGCTGACTCAGGGCTGTTACTTCCTCTTCATCTGGCAGAGTTCAAACACCAGTAGGCTATTTGCTGTCCTTACCGTATCAGGTCGTCATTTTCTGTGTCAATCTGCTGAAGATTTAAGTTGTTTTCTGAGTGACTAATTTCTGACAGACAATCTGAGTTCCTCATAGTAAGTGTTCAGGGATGTCTTTCTATCTTTATACTAATGACTTGAAAGGGATATTACTTGAGACATGCATGGAAACTTCTATTACATATGCAAATTGGTTTAAATAGAAACATTAAAAATCTTTTCCATCTGAGAGAATTAAGGTAAAAACCTTTCGTTGTTTTTACCCTGTAAATGCAGGGCCTTAGTAATCTGACTTCAAAGCATCTCTCTATTTGCATGAGCTGTGATCAGTTAAAAGTAGAACTAGTTAGAACCGTGAAAATGGTTATATCTATATATAGGTTTATAAAATTTTCAAAAATCTTGCTTTGTTTAAATTAAGATGAAAACTGAACACCTGAACTTCTAAATGAATTCTAAAGATAACTTTCTGGAACAAAAAAGAAACAAGGTGTTTGAATCTTTGCTTTTTTAGGTATCATAAAGCAAAAAAAAGGTAAAAATAGATAGCAAATATGGGTTCACAATTAAAAATGTGGCATTTTCATCTTCAAAAACATCAGTTTGCTGTTACCTTTTAAAAACATAAGCTTCTCTAACAGCCTGCTGTTTCTTATGTCACTTCCATGAGTTTTGATTTCTCTTGACCTGCTTTTTCAAACAGTAACTGGCTTTCAGACTATAATCTGCTGCAATATCAGAGTAGTTATAATATCTGTTCTACTGTGCTTCTAAAGCACCATGGCCTGTCTATCTTTGATCTAGCTACAGTATAGTGAAGGTTTTGTTTCATTGTTTTCTTGGTCAGAATTGTAGTATCTATGTTCTGCATTCATCCCTTCGTGACACGTACATAACTAAATCAGTGTTCGGTGGTTGCTAATTTACATATGGCTTCTGCTGTAAGGGGAAGAAGCAACTACCACATAAGAGCAAAAATTGAGCTTGGTTAAATGCTTTGGGTCAAATTCTTTTCTACGTTGGGATCTCCTATAATCCCAGTGTCAGACAAGATGCTAACACCTCTTTCATGGCCCTCTCCTCAGGAGTAACTGTCACTCTAAGTGATCAGATATTGAAGTAGCCTTGAAGTGACTTATGACCCTCTTTCAGGATTGGAAATCTTACATGTTAGTCTAGTATACCCATAACTAAATGATCTATAAATGTCCATTCCAACCCAAACCATTCTATGATTATACTATATAGATTGTCTTTTGACATGATCAACTAAACAAAAGACTGCATTTGTGATATGCTGCCTGTTGTGATTTTCAGAACACTCTCTAGCTGGCATTGTGTAAAAGCCATCAGAGACCTCTTCTGTCACCTGATCAAGTTTTAAGTCTCTAAAACTTTAAACTCTCTTGATTTGTAGAGGTACAGACATTGGGTCAGGGTGGATTGAAAGAAACTTCATCCTGTTAGGACATGCAAGTATGAAGGCGTGAACAGACATGGAAAAGGTCCTCTGTCCTGTCAGTTGAGATGGAGCAAAAAGGAGCAGAAATGACCTATTTGTGTAAGTAATCAATAAAACGATTGATCATCGTACATAGGAAAGGATAACAGACCTTTTCCACTCAGACAGAAATGATGAGTCGGAGGAAAAAATGTGCAGTTTGGGAAGACGCCTCTGTCCTCAGATGTTACACAGAAGGTCCCTCTGTATTTTCCAAATGAACCCTTTTTCCCATACAATGTATGGATTTTCATCAACTGATAGCCAGTTTTTGTATTTCTGAATGAATGAAAATGAAAAATGAAAATGAAAAAAACCCATGCCTGTTATGCAATATAAATGAGATGGGGAAAATGCCGCATTGCACGTTAAAATCCACTGCGAGTTCAGATACCTCTAAGAGCTGTAGAGAAAGTAATGTGTTTCAAGTGAAAAAAACGATATGCCGCATTTCACCAGACTGATTTGCGACAGGCCACTTCAGAAGTGAGACTTAGCTCTAACAAACTCCTGGTTCTTTACAACTTCAGTTGTCCAA